ATTATTATTATTATTATTATTGTCGTCACGGTAGGACATGCAGATGGGGCGGTACATGCCTGTGGCGCGGTTCGGCCTGATGCACATGATCGCTACGAACTTGTGTGAGTGGCTGTACGTCCTAGTGGAGGAGACAAAGCACGACATTGAGCACCTGAGTCACCTCGGTGAGTGAAGTTCTAAGCATTCTTAACGCTTTCAAAACTGAATTACTTTAATACACAACCCCTTCATTTGATATATGGATTAAAGGCCTTCGAAAACATGGCATTGAGGAGAACACTTCGATCTATGATGGAAGGTAACTAGCAATGTGAAGAAAATGACACAATGTAGGGCTGTATGATTTGCGCTATTCACGTGTTATGATTATGGTGACCAATTCAAGGAGGATGGGACGGTGGGAGCATTTAGCACCAATGAAGGGAAAGTAAAATGCGAAGTTTTATTTGGAAATCTTCTACAGAAGACAATATTAAACGTATCTTAAACAAAGAAGGTATGATGATGTGGAATGGACAGATCTGGCTGGGTAGAGATTCTATTGGCGGACCCCAGAATTATGCTACTAGCATCCAAAACTCCTTACTGCCATACTATCAGAAGGATTCTAGTCTATGCTTACAATGAGCTAGCCATTATCCTACTTCCTTCACATACTCTTGTGTAATCCATTGTAACTTTAAACAAATTATCAAGGTTCCATTGAACTACAACATGAGATGTTATTTTATACCTACTTTAACATAAACGAAACAACGAAACATTAGGAGCATTCGATCAGTCAGTACATTGCTAAAGATATTCAAAGTCTTTTTAAATGACTGTAAGCATATTATAAACCCCTATATTACGATTCGTAAAACAAATGATTTAATAATGTGTTACGACACAGACTAAGTTTAAAAAATTCCTTCATGCACTTCAAGGGTCTTAAAATATTGTAAATTCAAGTATAAATTGTTATAAACGGTGATATGTTTTTGTGTTCAGTATAGTGATTTATGTTAAAAAGTTGAGCTGAGTTGAGTTGGCGATCGCTTCTTTATCAATAAGGACAGTTTTATTCCTTAAAAGAAAAATAAATGGAATTGGTGCTCGTACAGAAATACGAGTACATAAGATTGGACATGTTCAAAAAAATTGGTAAGAATTTATGAGGAGTTAACTGGGAGTGCCTTTACCTGCAGTAAGTGGAACTACTGGAGATGTGTCCGTGTGATGCTACCTCTGCTGGGTGTGTATAGATCACTTTTAAGGGGTCGAATTAGGACTACATTCCGATGTCGAAATATGCTGGGTTTTCGATTATGTTATGTTACGTGAATAAATAACATCCCATGTTTGAAATTGACGGTGCCTTGATGAGTTGTTTGAATTTAATAGCTCAGACGTTTCAGAGCACGAGGATCATATGGACGAAAACAACACAGAAGATGGTTTCAACAAAACAGAGCTGCACCGTTTGAGGCGCAGCGGATCTTCCCACCATTGCTCTCGAACCAACATCGTCGGCATGTTGGTGCAAAAGTCCAGTCCCTACCTGTTCCCCTGCACCATAGAATACAGCCTGATCTGCGCAGTGACTTTGTACGAGATGTGGAAACATATCAAGAGCCCGCCACGTGTCAGAACAACCCACCACGTGTGTAATCAAAGCATGGGTCGAGACTACAGCAGCGGCAGTCTAGGTAAGAACATACATCTTGTGTCTAGTCGACTGGTTTACGGATGTGCGTTTTTCACATGTTTGGGTGCGCAATTCATGTAGGGTCCACAAGCAAGGAAACGAGCATTTCGAAACGGCAGAGGAATTTCAGTTAAAAATGAGTATCTTGAAACAACGTATCGGCAAAGCGGCTAGACACGGTGCTATTACAACTGTACATGATTTAGGGGTAAAGGGCGGCCGGCACGTAAGGTTAACAACCTTACCGCCATCTATGATCCGAATGTCTAGAGAAAATGTGGGAACCTCAATATCTCACAAACCTATGAGCCTCCACGGCCTGTTACAGGGATACCTTTACTTACATTTACTTAGTTAGTTAGTTATTGGAGAGGGTGGGTTTCCCCATACACTTAGACCAGTATTGGTCCGTTGTACTTTCCTCTATGATATTCCACCAGTCTCTATACCCTACCGATAAATGGTGCGCACCATCAGTCCCAGTTCTTAACACAACAATAAAAGGAGATCGTAAATTCCTGAAATCGAATAATACTTTTTATAAAGTCAGAATTTATAGCTCTCAATTTCAATATGTTAAAAACTGTTATTACTACTACTACTACTACTACTACTACTATTACCATCACCACTACCACTGCTTCCTACCACTACGACTACTACTACTACTATTACTAATTTATGCTGCTATTACTACCTGCTACTACTACTACTACTACTACCACTACTACTATTATTACCATCACCACTACCACTGCTTCCTACCACTACGACTACTACTACTACTACTACTAATTTATGCTGCTATTACTACCTACTACTACTACTACCACTACGACTACTACTACTACCACTACGACTACTACTACTACTACTACTAC